TTAAAATAGGCCTAAATTTGGGGGGAGGGGCTTAATTTCATTTTATGCCTAGAAAACATACTGGGTCTTCCTATGGGGGGGTGTATTGTTGGAGGAACATGGTAGCTAGATAGAATCGATTAGAATCGAATCAGAAAAATGGAATGGCATGGAATGGAGTAGAGTAGAATTGAATTGAATGAATGAATTATTTCAATAGTTCCAAGCAAGTTCCACACCCATTTGGGCTGTTCAAGTGACCCTGAGGGCACAGATACACCCCCAAGTGTTCTCAATGATTCTCAGAGTGCTAACAACCAGATGACTGCAAGGTCTATACATCCTTTCATTCTTTAGAAGAAGCTTCTTGGATGAGAAGTGAAACTCAAGGAAAAACAAAGAAAGCCAAGTTGCCTTTTGAAAAAAAAAAACATCTTTGAGATAACCATGACCTAGATGACTGAGCATCTCCATAGACATTAGAACTATAGTACTCCAATGTACAAAAATTATCTGGCCTTCTCTTCTCCAAAGGCCATCTGGAGATACACAGATGCTCAGTGCACATTTTTCTTTCTTTCTTTTTTCTTTTTAGAAAGTGAAAGAGGAACAAAAGGTGCAGCTCATTAGAGAGTGGCCGAGATAAAAACTAAACTAGGTAAACAGCAGGAACCTTAGTGGGAGTGCCATCTACTCTGCCAATATTACCAAATGGGTAGCCGAGCCTTAAGGCAACACAGTGTGGCAGCTAATATTGTATAACTATAGCTTTGAAGTTTTACACCATGTTAACAGTTCTAGATCTCATTATATGGTAAAGCCAGGCTATTGCTATGATTTCATTAATTTATACTTGCTTGTAAATGAACCTCTCAGAGCACTGAAAACATGCTGTTGTAATGTAAGCATCTTAGACAATCAAGTTATTAGCTGAATAAAAGAATAGGTATAAAATATTTCTGATTTTAGATGAGAAAAGAACTGTCTCTAGTGTTGGAGTCTGAAGATTCTGAACAATTATAAGCTGGAATTCCATGTGTATTGTTAGCCTTGCTACTGATCTCGAAACATATTCACAGTGCAAGTAGCAGAAAACAGGATTTATCACATCTATTCATTATGTTAATAAGGATTTGGGGAATAAGTTTTCAGAGTGAAAAAAAAATGACTCAGATTTTTTTATGCCCTACAATGAAAGAGTATTTACAATGCTATGAATTTGGATGCTCTAGTTGCTATGAAAGGATTGTATACTCCAGTAAACTAATGAGAGGTCTGCTTAGCAAATTAACTAACAAAGAATAATGTTCCCTAAAGGCTGCAATTCCTCCTTCTCGTCTTTGAAAATAAGATTTCTACTTTTTATTGATGAGGATAGAAAAACGTTTCAGAGAGAGTTCAATCTTTGTTCTTTCTAAAGATATTATGCAGTCACAGTTGATTTGACTGCACAGGACTTTTTTTTTTGCTGCCTACTATGCTTGGTTTTTTCATAAATAAAACATATGTAGTATGGTTGTATATAATTCAAAAATAATTTGAAAGAAATGCTTTGGACCTTGCATGCACACAGCACTTTCCTGCCACCTCATTAAAACATCAACTACTGTTTAAAGAATCGATTCATTAAAGTTGACATGATTCTGAAAGAGTAAGCAGAATGAATCAGAAAGATCAAAGTTTCCAGCAAAGAAGGAAGAGACTGTTCTGAAGTTCTTCAGAGTGGAAGTATTTCAAGAAAAAAAGACTAATTTTGCAGTGAGTTTATGTTCACAACTCTGGAGTTGATCATAAAACAATTCAGCTTCTAATTTCTGTCCATGTCAGGGGAATAGGGAGGTTCAGGGAAATAGGGAGGAGATTTCAAACTGTCTTAAAACCACTATGTGTAAGCATCCTAAGACTACTTATACAGTTTATAACAGTATTCAGTAGAGGAGATTTTGGAACTCACATATCTTCATTTAAATATATCTTTCGCCTTTTCAACCATATATGTATGAATTGCTCGGTGGGTTACGTACATAGAAAAATTGAACAAATCCCAGTTCTGTTAAGTACCAACCTATGTCTAAAGTATGGGACATTTTGATGTGGACACAATTATTTATTAAAAATGCTACACTTTTCAGTCCAAAGGCCCATCATTCTGTAGAGGAATTTTGACCTGCGAATAGGTTAGATGCTAAAATGTATTTTAACAGGGCAGTGATATTTTTACAGGAAAATTGACTTAAATGGATACTCCACAGTTGTGATATTAGAGCCATATTATGATTTTACTTAAGGTGTACTACATCATATATCCGGCACTGAGTGATCTATATTCCTAGATAATAGATGTAATTGTGGGCATGCAGAAATTATCTTGCCTCTTTTCCTTTTTCTGCTGCTTGATACTAATGCTGTCTTGAATTCTGTTTTCAATTAACTTGTTTTCTGAGTTTTCTTTTATCATTGCCAACCATATCTGTCATTATTTAGAACAGGAGTGTATGGAAGGAATTGTTGGGGGCAATAGGCTGATACTTTAAACAGCATAGAGAGGGCTGTAAAGTACTGTAAAGCGGTATATAAGTCTAAGTTCTATTATTATCCTGGAGCTATGTATCTGGTGGCAGAAAGTTTAAGAAGGTTATACTAAATGAAGCCTTTCAAGAATGCAAGAGGTTTCCATGAGCTGCACAATGGCTCTGTGACTTTGGAAAAGGTATGTCATGAGATGCTGAATGTAGTCTCCAAGTATCATTTTGAAAGAAATATCAATAAGACTATCATGCAAGCACTTCTGGTACATAATAAAAAACAAACTGTATTGATCTTCTTAGATGTAGAAAAGTCCTTTGACAATTTGAACTGGGATTTCTTGTTTAATATTCTGGAAGATATGAATTTTGGACAGAACTTCATAAAATGGATGAGATCAATCTACCTCACAGAAAGCACAAATGATTTTTAATGGAGATCTAACAAAGCTTGTGAGATACAAAAAGGAACAAGACAGGAATACTGACTGTTCTTTTCTTGTTTATATAGAATACAGATATAGGACAGATGAGAAAACTGAGGGAGTGAAGATTAAAAAAGAAACTGCAGATGATGGTGTTGGTTCTAGAAGATTCCTTAAAATGAATTGAAATATGAATGGACACATTAAAGGAATACGCTGTTTAGCAAGTTTTAATAAACAGAAGATGAAGATACTAGCTAAAATACGTAAATGGAAGATCAAACAGAATTGATAAGCAAATTAAGTAAAATATGAGGTTATCCTTAGGATAAATATAAATTGTATGTTAATTCAAAATAATTATGTTAAGACATGGAATGAAGTTAAAAACATATGTTAATATGGGAGGAACAACAATTTTCATTGCTAGGGAGAATTTTTGTAATTAAAAATGAATGTCTTGAATAGTATGACTTTTTATTTCAAAAGTTACTGTTTTGACAACTGGTGCACCATTTAAAGAGTGGCAGAAGTTATATCTAAAGTTTGTATGGGAAAATAGCATGAGTTAAATACAGTATAATGTGCTACAAGAAGCAAAAGAAAGAGAGGGTTCACCCGATTTCAATGTGTGTTTTGCAGTTTGCTGTTAGTTTGGATGAAACAGTAAGTGTTGCTGAGAAACAAAAGACTTCTATAGTTAGAAAGATATGATCCGAGATTTGGGTGGCATGGGTATTTGTGGTACAACAAAAACAAAGTTAATGTTTATTTTTTAAAAACCATTATGTTAGGCATGCCATATTGAGAATATGGAATAAATATAACTCCAGATTGTGCCTGAAAACCCCTTTGTGCCTCTCAACACAAAAAGCATATTGTAGGTGAGAAATAATAGGAAAGTACAACTGGCTAATTTGTGAACTAGAAATTTGTCAAGGGGGAATGTAAAATAAAATCAAGAGAAGAACTGGTGGCAGGGGATATTGAAAGTTGAAGCAGAAGTATGAAAATGAATGTGTGATAAAGTAGGCTAAAATTTTGGTTATAATATACAGATGAAACAATGGAAAATATGTGACTGAAAGAATTGAAATTTGTTATCATCTTAAACAGAATTTTTATAAAATGAAATATGGCATATGTCACCAGAGAAATTGAGTAGAATGTATAAAGGTGCTTAAAATTTATTTTGGAAATAGAGAGAGATGTTTTGCCATGTTTGGTGGACTTGTAAAAAAGTTAGAAAATTCTGGATTCAAGTACATATACTGATTCAGAGGATTTTAAAGATTACTATAGAATTGAAAACCAGAGGTTTTTCTTTTGTGATTGACAGACAAACAATTGGAAGCATATCATGGAACTTTGTTTTTGTACATGATAACTGTAGTAAGATTATTGTATGGACCTGGACAGAAAAATTGGGCATTGACCGCAGAGGAGGAATGGTTAGTTAAAATGAGAGCTGGATCTTGCTAAGATGTTTAAACTGACTTACCTGATCAGAAAAAAAAAACACCAATAAACCACATTTATTGCTGACTGGAAGCCCATTATAAAATGAACATAATGTATGATTTATGGTTTTGATAATTAGAATAGAAAGAAGAAGGGTACACTGTGACCAGAGAGTAAGAAGTAATTTTATGCCTGTTATAAAGAAAATTGAAAGCTACTTCTTTGTATCTTTTTACTTTTATATTTTCTTTTACTTTTTCCTACTTTTAGTTTTCTTTTTTATTTCTTTTTCTTTTTTTACTCTATGTTAGTTTGCATTAGTTTTTATTTTGTTTTTAAAACATTCAATACAATCATATAAAAGAGAATTCATTCCGAATATGATAATAACAGCACATTTATTTATATGGTACTTTGATTTTGCAGATTGTTTTATTTGTGCTATGCAGAACAGAAGGGAAAATACGCCACTCTCTGTGTAATAAAAGAGAGGCAGAAAGAAGAGAAACCAGGAAGTTCGTACAAAAGAAGTTTGTCCACATTTCAGCTTATTAACACAAAAGGTCAATCTGATTGGTTATTCATTACCAGGAGTGACACGGTTTTGGTCTCTCTGCAGTAAGCTACAGTATATCTTTGAGTTATTAGGCGGAAGAAAGGTAGGGAGATTTAGCTGGAAAAAAAAATCTGTTCTGCTTCTGTTTGCTTATTTTATCTTTTTTTTTTTTTGGCTCCCAAGAGAATGGCTCAGGTCTCTCTGAATGATCAGAAGAGGAAGTGAAAAATTCCCCTGACACAAAGATGAAGATTTGCTTTTCATTACTCAGGTTTCAATCTTGAGCGAGTAGCCACAAGACGAGGAAGAAACTCTTAGGGAAGACTTTTTATTTTTATAAATTGAGAGGAAAGAAGTCCAAGTAAAAGATCTTCCCCAATCCCAGCAAAGCCTCTTGGCTTTTATCTTGTTCAAAAGGATCGAAGGATGAGTTTGGAAATGACAGATAATGAAAGAAATAGCTTTCAAGGATTTGTGAATGCTTAACGGGGGGACCAGAGAAAGAGAGGGAAGAAAGAAAGAAATTGAAGAAATTGAAGCTAGCAAGTAAGAGGAGCCACAGCATGGGGAACTGCTGCCACAAGAATTGTGCAAGTCTGGAGTCCTACGTGCTTTGGCTTTTCAAAGTTTGTGATTGCAGGTCAGGAGGTAAGACGGCGACAGGCGACGATACAAATGGCTCTTCGGTAGGACCAGTGATAACACCTCCACTCAGAACGGTAGAACAGAGCTGCAGATTTGTTGCCTTGTTTCCTTACCAAGCCCGGACTGAGGATGATCTGAGTTTTCAACCTGGAGATAAGCTTGAAGTGCTGGATACCACTCAGGAGGGCTGGTGGTTTGCAAACCTGCTTGTGGAGAATGGTCTTGCCAGACCTGGACAAAAACTGCAAGGCTATATCCCAGCTAACTATGTCGCTCCTGACCAGAGTATTGAAGCTGAACCGTAAGTTCCGATATAGAGGTAGAGCTGGAGCTAGAGGAAATACAGGCAGTCCTCAGCTTACAACCACAATTGAGCCCAAAATTTATGTTACTAAGTGAGAAAATTGTGAAGTGAGCTTTGCCCCATTTTATGACTTTTCTTGCCACGATCGTTAAGTGAATCTGGCTTCTCCATTGGCTTTGCTTGTCAGAAAGTTGCAAAAGGTGGGACACTGCAACCGTCATAAACGTGAGTCAGTTGCCAAGCGGCTGAATTTTGATCATGTGACTATAGGATGATTCAATGGGCATAAGTGTGAAAAATGGTCATAAGTCCTTTTTTTCAGTGCCATTGTAACTTTGAACAGTCACTAAGCAAACTGTTCTAAGTCGAGGATTGCCTGTAGATTTCTAGATAATGTACTGTATTGCAATCACCAAACAGACAAATAGTCTTGGGGAAATGGCCATATATATGTGAAGCTAAATATGTGGAGAATGCCCTTTTGAGAAACCAGAAGCAGCCAAATGTTGTTGTGGGGCTTTTGGCTAACATGACACTTGTGTAGACCTAATTCATCCATTATTTTCAACAGAGATTGGGACTGGTATTATATTAATCGTATATACAAATTGATTTTGTTTTTTTTAAAAAAATAATATTAATGTTTCCCTTTCTCAGAAAGAATTTATTTCCTAATGAATTACTATGTGTGGATAGGTATGTGCAGATGTACTCTTTGCTGCTTTAGAGATGAAGTACAGAGTAAACAGGACAAATGGAATCTCTTACACACCTCATTTAACAGTAACTACTGAGGTACCTAGATAGCAATAAAGAGAACCCCTTCTGGAAGGTGTGGATTTTTCCTTCATTGAACAGACTTTCTGGGCTGCAAAACTCTTTGGTTTTTGTTTTCCTGCCATCATAACTTGAAAAAGTTAATTGTCACCCTGGGATCACCCAAAGGCATGAACAGAGCAATTTTCTATTTAGCTGTGACTTGGAGTCATACTGCCGAAACTGAGTGGCTTTTAAAGTGGGAATACAATATCTAGCCCATTTAGAAAGTGAAGCATTCCAGATCTCCTCCGTTTTAGGATTGCTATTTTAATTATTCAAATATTTAGAAAACTGGTGAGACTTAATTGAAGCTTGATTGCTCTTTGTTTACCTTAGTCCACAAAGTTTGAGGTTTTATTTGCATGCATAGATAAATCAGGGCTCTAAGTTCCTTATTGCAATTTGCATTCAATAATGCAAACGAAATTGCTGAACGAAATTGTCTTACTACAGGGAGTTTTAAGAAGTGGATATGATTCACTGGTGCACGTCTGCTCTGATTTTAAGGGCATTTGAGGATTTAGGTGCTGTGCATGTCTGTGTAGTCAACTTTATACGCTAAAATAAAAACAAATGTGTTTTAATATTATTAAAAAGTAATGCATTGTGGCATAAGTCATGGCATAAGAACTAAAAGAAAAAGTCATAGAGAAAGGGGAAAAGTAATTTCCAATTTTCTTCAATAGAGTTACAGAAACGAAATAGATTAACTTCTTGCTTTAAAATTCATGAGCAGTCATAAGTCAAGAACTATCTCCAGTCTGCTAAATTTGAGCACCAGCTTTTAATTGGGATTAAAATCATTTATAAAATCAGTTAACAAAAAAAACCCCAGTCACTAGAAGTTATGAGTTTCTACTATTTTCATTGGAACAAAGATATGGAGCTGTTTAGCTCCTTGAGTTTAAGCTACCTTCTAAAGAAAAAGATGGGTAGACTGAAATCTTAAGGAAATAAATATAATTTGTTGTCATTATACAGTACATATTTCAATACTATATGTGAGCCCTAAGCCAAATGGAGGTCTGGAGCTTTAAGACTTCATAAATCCTGCTCATTGGTCATGCCTCAATCTTCAGCAGCCTGTGATTATTATGGCTTCCTGTTACGTAAGCCATAAGTCATGGATAGCCACGAATGAGCTTTCTCAGTGTTGCTCCTTTGTTTCTGGAATTCTTTTCTAGAGCAGCATTTCTGAACATTGGCAAATATAGGGTGTGTAGATGTTGACTCTCAGAATTCTGGGAGTTGAAGTCCGTACATCTTAATGTTGCCAGCTAAGTCTATCCTAGAGAGATGGATTGGAATTTACTTTGAGAATTGATGTTCCGAGGAAAAGACATTCTATCTCTGAGGGATTTTCATACCAACTTTTTTTTAACAAAGTTTTTATTTTTTACAACAAACATACGAACAAAACATAAAAACATAAAACCATTTTTCAATTATATACATACAGTGTGTCAGTTGGTTACAATCTTTTGTGCTATCCTTTTTTAACCATTACTCACAAGTTATATAAATTCTCACCCTATCGATCTAGCTTGTGCTTATATAATATCAATTATTAAACATTCATATAACTATTTTTCCATCATTTTATACGAGATATTCTAATTTTCATTATGATTTAATCTTATACATTCATCCAATGGTTATATATTGTATATTGTATTCTATATCAATCTATTAACTTTTATTGTAAGGCTTACTAGTCTATTTCTTTACCATGTCTTTTTATCTAACCATTGATAAAATAAATCCCATATCATATAAAATTGTTTATCCTTTTGTTCTTTAATTTCAAATGTCAATTTACTCATTTCGGCACAGTCCATGATTGTCTTAATAATTTCCTCCTGCATAGGTATTTTTTCATTTTTCCAGTTCTTAGCAAATACAATTCTAGCCACTGTTAAAACAGGGATTTTCATACCAACTTTTAATCTATGCTACAATTGTACTTTTTAATGTGTTTCCTCCTGGCATATATTTGAATGCTTTTCAAAAGATTACTTACTGCTTTTTGTATATGCTATCTGTCTTGCTCTTTTTCTTCCTCCTCTTCTCCCCTTCCTTTTTTGTTCTCCACATGTTGGTTTCTAAGGATTTTGTAAGCTTCCCTGGGAAAATATTTGTTTGCAAGTATGTTCATCTTTAGTACATTTTAAAAATAAAATAAATGAGAAATAAATAAATTATTATTGTATGAAATAATGCCTTCTTGCTTAACCACTTGGCTGAAGTTAATTCAACACACCTGTTCTGTGCCTCACATAAACAAGATTTTGTTGATATCAGTAGTCTGCTAGGTGTTCTTGCTGTTATCAGAAACATACCAGGTGTGTGTTGCTCGGCTGTTCCAGGAATGTTTGATGCCAATGGAAGCATCTGCAGACAAATGCATTAGGAAAAAATGCTTATAATGACTTTTTATTCTTAGCACAGTCTTTTATTCCTGGAAAGGAAGTAATACTCTTTACATAATGACCATTTCTGCATGTTGCCAGCTCTCAGATACGGGCTTATCAGTCCAATCTTACCTCAGTTCAGAGGTTAAGCAGTATTGGTCCAGAGAATTCCCTGGGTCCTACTTTGGGTGGGACTGGGAAGGTTAAAAAAAATATTGAGCAAAGGCAATGGCAAACCTCTTTGTTATTTTTGGTTAGATAAAGGATGTGAGGTCCCCATGCATCCATCAGGATTTGAGTTTGATGCAAGCACATGTGTATCTCAGAAACGACCCTTTAAAACTTAGCACCTATTGCAATTGATCCATGACAAGAAAATTACAGAACAATAAATAAGATACATCTGAAACTCATTCATCTCTTGTCATTTGTAATAAAGAGGAACACAATGTGGATGCAAAAAAAATGGATGTTTTTATGGGCGGTGTAAAGCAACATGCACCTCAAATGCCTAGCTGGAGAAGGCTTTCACATATCAGGGTAGCTAAACAATAAAGTGCTTCTTTTTCACAAAATGCTACAGAAGTAGCTGTGTTATATTTTTCACTAACTTCAGGATTTTCATTCCTTTGTGTGGCTGAGGGAGCTCATAACATCCTATTTACACAGTTCCTTTGCTATTGTCTTTATCTAAACTTGAGGGGCAAACCTGGGGAGTCACACAATTTCATGAGTGCTATTCAGAGCTGTTAACGAAGACATGCAATTCACAGGAAGGATGGGCTTATGGATGAATTTTATATCCAAACAAATCTTTTCTAATGCTCCAGAGATTTAGGAGTTCTCAGCAATTAAAAAACATAAAATTACTGTTTGATATGTTTATGATTAAGTTACAAAGTAAATCATGTTATTTAAGGACAGCTGTTGTATCTTTTCCTAGCTTATAATATCTATACAATATTGTGAGATAGTATATGTGCAGTGTTGTTTCTCTCTTAAGCAAGGCAATTTCTGCCAAGAGCCCAAACAGATTTATTTATTAGATTTTTATCCTATCTTTATTACTTTATAAGTAACTCAAGGCTGTGAACATACATAATATTCCTTTCTCTTTTGGTTTTCCCTGTGAGGTGGGTTGGGCTGAGAAAGAATGACTAGCCCAAAGTCACCCAACCAACTTTCATACCTAAGATGAGACTAGAACTCATGATCTCTGGTTTCCCCATGGTAAACAACTCTGCTAAACAACTAACTCCCACAGCATCGCCTTATGCCTAAAGATATTTACCTAGACCTGTATTGCTATTGTTTTTCTCATCTTCTTATCCTTCCTACTACCCTCTCCTATTGGTATTTTATGATTTATTTTATTTATTTATTTTGATTTGTCACTCACTTATAAGCTAACAGGTATAAGTATAAATATGAGTAGGAATACAGGAAATAGGTACGAATAAATGGGGACAATAAGACAGGGACGGTAGGCATGATTGTGCACTTATGCACACTCCTTACAGACCTCTTTTGAATGGGGTGAGGTCAAAGGAGTGAGGGTTAGAGGATGTAACAACAGAGTCAGGTATTGCATTCCAGGCATTGACCACTCTGTTGCTGAAGTTGTACTTTCTGCAATCAACTTTGGAGCGGTTTACATTGAGTTTGTATCTGTTGTATGCTCTTGTATTGTTGTGGTTGAAGCTGAAGTAATCATTGACTGGTAGGACATTGTAGCAGATAATTTTGTGTGCTGCGCTTAAGTTCAAT